TCCTCATTAGCCATATATTAGTTCATCCAACTTTCCTACAGGCAGTAAACTAGTCCAGTCTCTGGAATAGACGGTACATAAGCAACACATTTAAATAGAACGCATTCATCTCTCTACTCATTCGTTCAGACACTACTGTAGTGAGCATCAGAGAGCGTTTCCTGGCCCTGGTGGAACTTAAGTTCTAGAGGGATATTTCTGCGAAGCCTGATTAAAAGAATACTATGTGATCCCCACATGTACGAGCCCATGAGGACAGAGATCGTCTGTTCTGTTGATGACTGTGCCCAAGCATAGCCTTCCTTGCAGCAGTTGCTCCTGGAATGTTTGCTGACTAAATGAACTAGATTGTGCTTTGATTCTAACTCTCACCAGAACTTTTTTAAAATTGTTTATTTTTGTTTTATGTGTGTCGGTGTTTTGCCTGCATATACGTCTGTGTGAGGGTTTCAGATTTTGGAGTTATAGACAGTTGTGAGCTGCCATGTGGGTGCTAGGAATTGAAACCAGGTCCTCTGGAAGAGTAGTCAGTGTTCGTAACTGCTGAGCCATCTCTCCAGACCCAATTCTAGAGTTTTGTTTTGTTTTTTTAAATATTTGTCAGTGTCTACCCCTATCGTATATATGTGATATATATATATTATACCTTTGTGTCAACTGGAAGTATAATATGTATTATTTACGTCTAAGTATTTAAATATTTACCATATTTGTTGTCTGAAATAAATGATCCTTTTATACACTAGCTAAGCTATCTAGGTGAAGTAGTTTCACAAACCTAAAATATTTGCTGAGACAAATAAAAACAGTATACAAACTGAGTATGCCGGCACATGCCTGAGATCCCAAGCCTGTAATCCCAGTCCTCAGGAGACTGGGGCAGGAGGATCAAAAGTTCTAAGTCAGCCTGGACCACATAGTGAATTCCTGTTTCAAAAAAACAAGAAATAAATTAGAGTGCACTGGGGTGGGCTGCACACCAGTAGTCACAGTCTTCAGATTCTGTACCTGCAGAAACTGGCTGCACACCAGTAGTCACAGTCTTCAGATTCTGTACCTGCAGAAACGGGGCTGCACACCAGTAGTCACAGTCTTCAGGTTGTGTACCTGCAGAAACTGGCTGTACACCAGTAGTCACAGTCTTCAGGTTGTGTACTTGTAGAAACGGGGCTGCACACCAGTAGTCACAGTCTTCAGGTTGTGTACCTGCAGAAACTGGCTGTACACCAGTAGTCACAGTCTTCAGATTCTGTACCTGCAGAAACTGGCTGTACACCAGTAGTCACAGTCTTCAGGTTGTGTACCTGCAGAAACTGGCTGTCATGCTGTAGACACTTCTTTCTGCATTCACTGTCTGCTGGCCAGTGTAGGCTTCTCTACTGGCTGAAGGGAGTGGGCAAGCTAGAAATACAAAGTAAATTGAGAGTTCAGGTGTGAAAATAGCATGTGCCCATCACAGGCTTCACAGTGCTGAGCTCGCTGTGACAACTGGTCTATAGGCAAGTGTGGAGGAAAATAGTTCCACCGTGAAGCATGTTGTAACAGTGTACAGTACACCCAAAGGCAAGGAGTTCTCCAGCTTTCTAACTTGAAACAAGTGCCCTCACAACACTTTGAACATAGCGTCTTATTAAATGGTGAAGATAAGAGAAACAAGAAGAGGCGCTGCTTAGAGCAAAGCCAGTGGTGAGGAAACAGCAGGTGTCAGGGAGTGGATGCTTTAGCAACGGGCCCTGCTGGATGCATCATGCAGTTTGGGCATCACTTGGAAAGTGTTGTCTTTGTTACAGTTTCTGTTCCTGTGCAGAGACCGTGACCACGGCAGCTCTTAGAAAGGAAAACATTTCATTGGGGCTGGTTTACAGTGTCAGAGGTTTAGTCCATTATCATCATGGTTGGTGAAGGTGGTGGTGGTGGACAGACATGGTGCTGGAGAAGAGGTTGAAAGTTCTGTATCTTGATCCGCAAACAGCAGAAGCAACAGATACATATAAAAATATCAGATTAGAGAATAGCCTACTTTTTAAATATCTCCACGAATAGACCCCTATTCTTGTCAAAGCTGTTGATCTCAGTAGTAAGTTCAAACTCCTCATGATCTTTTGGAAATCCTAGATCCCTAAAAAACTCTGAAGAATGGTAGGCAGAGAACCCTCGTGGTGGTTCATCATCATCTGTAACTTCTTCTGGCCTATGTGGCACCAGGCATGCACATGGAGCACAGACACATTCACACATTAATTTTTTAAATAAAGACTTCAAGAACAGACTAAAGACTCTGAACTTTTAATTTTTTTAAATAATTTATTTAATTTTATTTCATGTTCGTTGATGTGAGGATGTCAGATCCCTTGAAACTAGAGTTACTGACAGTTGTGATCTGCAAGGTGGATACCGGGAATTGAACCTTGGTCCTCTAGTGCTCTTAACTGCTGAGCCATCTCTCCGGTCCCTAGTTTTTTTAATTAAAAAAAATGATCAGGCTGAAGAGATGGCTCAGAGGTTAAGAGCATTGTCTGCTCTTCCAGAGGTTCTGAGTTCAATTCCCAGCAACCACTTAGTGGCTCACAGCCATCTATAATGAGATCTGGTGCCCTCTTCTGGTGTGCAGGCAAAAACACTGTTTACATAATAAATAAATCTAAAAAAATTTTTTGACCATATATAGAATTTCTTTTCCCCCAATTCCATGTGAGATTGTGGAGGAGGTGTGTGTGTGTGTGTGTATGTGTGTGTGTGTTGAAAGAGAGGGAGAGAGATAGGCAATGATGGTGCATGACTTTAATACCAGCACTTGGGAGGCTAAGATAAGCAAATCTCTGAGTTCAATGTCAGCCTGGTCTACAGAGTGAGTTCCAGGACAGCCAGGGCTGCTTACACAGAAAAACATTGTCTTGGGGGGAGAAGGGCGGGTGGGAGGTTGAACATTTCCTGATAACTGTCCTGCTACTGAGCTAACCCCAGCCCACTACTTCTTCTGTTTACTGTCTTCAGCACTAACATGGGGTGGGGAAAGTCTTTTGACAACACATTCTAAGAAAAACTACAAGAGAAATGGAAAAAGTTGGCCCTGCTAATGACTCAGTAACAGTACAGGAAGAATTGCGACATTGCATTAGGGTGATGTGATAGTTGCAACACTAATCATTGTCCAGTTCATAGCATCACTCGGAGTGGGCAGCCTGGCATCTGCACCACTGACAGAACTCATGCTACTCCATGTAAAGAACTCTCTCCAAAGATGCTTAACTCAGGGTCCATCTTACAGCAGAACGGACAAGTTAAACAGCACAAGATAAAACAGATAAAGCTTGCCGGGCAGTGGTGGCACACGCCTTTAATCCCAGCACTCGGGAGGCAGAGGCAGGCGGATCTCTGTGAGTTTGAGGCCGGCTGGACCGATAGCCTCCGAAACAATACAGAGAAACCCCGTCTCGTAAAAACCAAAAAAAAAAAAACAAACAAACAAAACAGATAAAGCTTAAAAGAGACATTTTAAAGATAGCTGCCCCATTGGCCCCCAGAGGTCAATGATTTTTCAAAGAAAAATAAATGGCTTTTATTTATATTTCAGTAAGAGGGACCTTACTGAATGCTGATTTAGAGTCAGGGGCTAAAAAAAATATAAAAACCGGATCCAATAAATCTTGAATAATTATAATTTAGGGGTGGTGTGGGCTGTCCACTGAATGTGTGATCCAAGACAATTCTTCCTGGTGGCCCAGAGGACAACTGGGGAGATTTGAATATTGTGGGTTAAGGTTTTAGTTTGATGATTGGCACGTGCCTATGTATGAAGTAGCCTGTGAATGTACAAGCTGTGCGGAAGCATGTGCAGTGAAGACTCCTGATCTCTGCCCTTGACAAATGCAGATAGGGTGTACAAACGCTTAGAGTGCTGCTCTCAACTTTTACTTTTTAAAAACTTTTCATATAGACCTAGGATAGGATTCTGAATAAACTGTGATGCAATCGTGAGGACCTGAGTTTGAATCCCTGGCACCCATGTAAAAGATGAATGAGGCACCACATGTCTGGAACCCCAGCATTAAGGAGCTGAGAGAGATGATTCCTGGGAGCTTGCTCTCTAGCCAAAAAGAAAGCAATGTGTCCAGGCATGGTGGTACATGCCTTTCAACCTAGCATTCAGGAGATGTCAGCAGAGCTCTGTGCAGTTAAGACCAGCCTGGTATCCATAGCAAGTTCCAGGCTAGTGGAGGACTATACAGTGAGACCCTATCTCAATAAATAAATAGGTAAGGTAGAGAGTGATTGAAGAAGCCATCCTAATGTCAACCTCTAGCTCCATGTGTGCCTGCAGGGGCAAATGAGTGTGGGTGTGTGTGGGTGTCTGTGGGTGGGTGTGTGTGCGCTTGTGCATATGTAAATTTCAGACAAACGTTGAAAGAACTCTTCAGGTGTTCATATATATTTGTATATATAGAAAGAGAAATCACTGACTATATGAATATGTATTTGGTTCAATATATGTGAAATAAAGGAGGAAGTGTGGGGGAAAGAGTTGAATTTTATTCTTTTTTAATTATGTGTTTGGGGGGAGGTATGCGCAGGTAGCTGCTGAGACTACAGGCATCAGCTTCCTCTGGAACTGCAGTTACAGGTGATCGTGGACCACCTGACATGGATGCTGGGACCCAAACTTGTGTACTCTGAAAGATCAGTGAATGCTCCTAACCAGTGAGCCATCTTTCCAGTCTCATGCATCTTAACAAAACACAGGGCTGGAGAGATAGCTCAGTGGTTAAGATCCCTGGCTGCTTTTCCAAAGGTCCTGAGTTCCATTCCCAGCAACCACATGGTGGCTCACAACCATCCATAATGAGATCTGGTGCCCTTCTCTGGCCTGCAGACATACATGCAGGCAGAACACTGTATACATAATAATAAATAAATCTTTTTTTTAAGAAAACATCAGATAATTCCCTAAAAGGAAGGAAAAAAACAGAAGTAGCAAATTAATTTTTTCTTTTCTATTTTAGGCTCAAGAAAAAGGAAGATTAAACTACACTAAGGTGGGTAAATTATATGCATCTACTATGCAATTTGGTTGCTTTTATACTTGAAAAGTCAAAAGAGAAGCATTATGGCTGGGCATAGTGGCACAAACTTTCAATCCTAGCACTCTAGAGGCAAAAACAATCAGATCTCTGTAAGTTTAGGCCAGCCTCATCTACAGAACTACTTAGTAAGACCCTGCCTCAAAAAAAAAAAAAATAGGGTTTGATTACCATCTCCCAAATCATGGCTCACAGTCATCTATAACTCCTGTCCCAGGGAGTATAATACTCTCTTCTCACCTCACATACATGGTGTATTTGCTTGCACATACATGCGCCCATATACATAAGAAATAATGTATAAATTTTAATTTAAATAACTACATTAAGAAGAATCATGATGTTTAAAGCTGAGAGATTATCATTAGCAGATAAAATACGATTCATTCCACAATGTGTGTATTATTCCATACAGTGTGTTAGATATCGGGAATAAAATGGTGAGGGCCAGCAAGATGGCTCAGCAGGGAAGGTGCTTGCAGCCACGCATATGGAAGCCAAGCCTGAAGACCTGCATTAGATCCCCAGAACCCACATGGTAGAAGGAAAGAATCAACTCTTGAATAGTTTGAAGCAGCAGGCCTGCTAGCTAGATATCTCCTCTAATGCACTATGGGGGCCCTGCCTTTACAACCTCACCTAGTCCCGTTTGCACCCTAAAGGTTCCCCCTCCAGAAACCATCAGTGCATGAACTTTTGGGGGCACACTCAACCCATAGCATCAGTGACACATTGTCCACCATGGACCTTGTATGAGCACCAGTTCCCCACCACCTGTGGATCTTCTGAAAGCACGCAACAAAGCACATCATGCTATGATGTGTACTATTGTGGGATTTTATTGCTGTGAAGAGACACCATGACCATGCTAAGTCTTCTTATAAAAGAAAACATTTAACTGGGGCTGGTTTATAGCGTCAGAGGTTTAGTCAGCGCAGGGATAAGAGAGTCCGAGCAACCACCAGAGTAAATAGTTTGAGGATAAAGGATGAGGTTTACTGAAGGCAGTGAAACAAAGCAAACGTGACCCAGAAGGCAAGGAGAAGTGACTAGTGGCCACTGGAGCCTATTTGTGACTAAAGACTTTCTAGAATTTCTTTTTTTATTATTGATTTCTATGAGCATTGGTATCAGTGCGAGGGAGTAGATCTCCTGGATCTGGAGTCACAGACAGTTGTGAATGCTACGAGAGTGCTGGGACTTGAACCTGGGTCTTGTGGAAGAGCAGTCAGTGCTCTTAACCACTAAGCCATCTCTCCAACCCCACAGAATTTCTTATTAAAGTACTTTAACAGCCAGGTGGTGGCACACATCTTTAATCGCAGCATGAGGAAGGCAGAGGCAGATAGAACTTTGCAAGTTTGAGACCAGCCTGGCCTAAGTATACATATAGTAAGACCCTGTCTCAAAAAAGAAAAAGAAAAGGCGTTTCTAACCCAAGCAATGGCTATGCTACCAACTTGCTGCAGAACCTGATCAGCCACTTAATTGCCTTGTACTTTCTTGTGCTGTTACCATGATGACCATGTGAACAAACGTCCAAAGGCCTGACATCACAAGTTCCCTGACACAAGCCTCCCTGTCTAGAGTAGACACTTCTCTCCTCTCTTTCTTAATACCATCCTGATCCAAGCTGATCTTCTCAGTGTAATTGTTTAATTGTTTCTTTCCCAGTAGAGTGATAGTATTCTGAAAGCAAAAGCCCAGGCTCTCTCTGTGCTTCTGTGTGTGTGTGTGTGTGTGTGTGTGTGTGTGTGTGTGTGTGTGTAAGGTGCAGACATTTTAAGATTTTAAGAGCATACTGACTGTAGAATATGGCCCATCCCCAGCTCGCCTCAGTTGCCTTTCCCAGAACCTGATCACTGTGTTTCTCCACAGACAAAAAACTGTCCATAAATTTCTGGTGCTGTTGTGACAGTTAAATGTGAAACACAGTTGGTCTTGATGGATTCCAGTAATTAGCCACATCTTGTCACCTTGACACAGACTTAAGTCCCAGTATTACAGGGAGAGTAGGAAAAATTCTGTCCTTCTCTCTAGGATAATAGATGGTCGAGGTTCAGCTTGTGGTGAGTGATATTTGCAGTGCACTGTGGGGCTGGGGAAGTACAAACATGGGACCTTCAATCTCCCCTCTCATTCCGCTCTGTGTGGTCTCACTCTAATGATTGATGTTCACTATAGCTAATGCAGGCAGCATGGTCTGTGGCTTGGGGTTCCCTGATAGGATTATCTGTCTGTGAGATGGAATTAGAAGAACCCAGCAGCCGTGTCAGGAGATTGTGCTAAACTTATCCTCCACTGAAATTTTATTCATTCCCAAGAGCCTGATTTTATCCAAAAAGAAAAAAAAAACCAGTTTCAGAAAACCATAAAAAATTAATTTCAGTTGTTCATGCTTGCTTTATACCCCATCACTCAAATTCAGGCAGTCTGAGATGAGGATGTAAGGAGGGCTGGAAGAGGTGATCATTTTTAAATGAGTCCACCTGGATTTCCAGGATGTCTTTCACATTCACTAGGAAAGATGTTAGGTTTCTTTTTCCTTTTCATTTGGGTATGTATTTAGTTTTGTAACAGGATTTCACTATGTAACCCAAACTGACCTAAAATGCCTCAGCCTCCTGCCTCAGTCTCCTGAGTGCTGGAATTATAGGCATGTGCCACCACACCTGGCTTTGCATCACTTTTTAATTGAGTTCTGGTTGCCGTGGATCCTGGATATGAATGTTTTATACTGTTGTGCTGTCTTTCTTCAAAGTATCAAAGAATACAACAGGTCTCCATTCATTAAATCCTCCCCCTCAAGGTAGATGGGCAATGATGGCAATTCTAGAGTGTCAGATGAAAACAAGAACTTCTGTCTTAGTTGCACAATTAAGACTCCAGAAAGGGGACTGGAAAGATGGTTCATCAGTTAAGAACACTGACTGCTCTTCCAGAGGACCTGAGTTCAATTTCCAGCACCCACATGGCTGCCGGCAAGTATCTGCAAATCCATTTGCGGGGGACCCAACACCCTCACACAGGTACATACCAAAACACTAATGCACATAAGATTTTTTAAGTGGGGGCGGGGACTCCAAAAGGGGGTTTGTAAGATACAATGTACTTACCAGAACTGAATTGTGACCAAGTAGCTAGTGCCAAGACTTGGTCTTGTCCACAGCTCTGTGAGACAGTTAGTGACCATGCTGGGTCTGTAGCCCTGGGCGGCTAGCTCTCTGACTACTCCTGTCCCTCAGCTGCCCACCCAGCGTTAGCATTAAGCACTATGGAACCTGCTCGGTGCTAGAGGAAGAGTGCCACCTATTGCATTGCAGGAATTCCTGGGTATGCATTGGGCCTGGTGCAGAAGCCTCTCAGACCACATTCACACTTGGTTTGCTATGGCAACTAATATACATGTCTAAAAGAAAGCGAATATGTTGACTACTCTTAACTCAGAAAAACATCTACAAACGCCTGTGTATTTTCCCCAGCTGGAGCTGAGCGTATGCCTGTAGTTGAGCCCACTGCTACTTGAGATAAGCTAAAAGGCTGAGGCAGATGGTGTTTTTACCACTTCAGGCAAAACATGGCACCTATGCTGCGACTTTCTACAATTTTAATTTTTTAACATTTTCAAGATGGCTTGTTTAAATATCTCCATCATGGAGACACAGACTTTCTCCCCATTGCTTTTAAATCACTGCTATAGCTATACAGGCTTTGGCAAAATTCACTTGACGAAACCAGACTCTGTGAAGCACTGTGGAGTTTGCCTTCTGTTCATTCTTTCCCTGGAGTCTAAGAGTGTGCCTTAAATGGCCTTTGACATTCATGCTAATTCAGACACAAAGACTGTAGTCACAGTGGCTCCTTTGCCATGTATCTCTGTTTTATTGTGCGTTTCTTATCATTTGGCCTGTGACTCAGGACAGAAGTGGGTTTTTTCACTTTAAAAAAGTTTACTTCTGTTGTTATTTTGTATGTGTGAGAGTGCATACCTGTGCATGCTGCACACCTACATGAAGTTCAGAGGAACAGGCTCTCTCCTTCATGGTAGGATCTAGAGGTTGAATTCGGGTTGTCAGGATGCTGTTTTTCCCACTGAGCCAGCTTACTGACCCTGTTTGTTATTGCTGTTGTTTTGTTTTTTAGGTTATTTAGTTTATTATATGTATATGCATATTTTACCTGCATGTATGTCTGTGTACCACATGGATACTTGCTACCCGTGGAAGTCAGAAAAGGGTATCAGATATTCTAGGACTGGAGCTACAGGAAGTCATAAGCCACCCATTGTGGGTGTTGGAACTGAGCTCAGGGCCTTGGGGAAAGCAGAATACATTCTTAACTCTGGAGCCATCTCTCCAGCCCCTCACGTCCTCTTAGGAGGTTCACTCTAAACATGGAACAGCTCAAGGATATGCACTGGGCAAAGGAAGGTCCTGCGGATTTTAATCTTTAGGCATCGGTTCCCTGTCAAGTGTAAGAGACACCCTTGGGATTGCAGGCTGAGCTCCTGCTGTCTCCCTGGATTGGTTCATGGTTACAGAATGGCAGGTTCGAGTTGTCACACCATGCCTCTCCAGAATCAGTGCCTGGTGACGGCTGCTCTCCTTTGCCCTCTTAACCTCTGGGAGGCCTTGTGAGATGTACTTGCATAAAGTGCACATTAAAATTCTCTTCCCACCAGCAAAGATGCCTACTAACATTTGCATTCACGTGATCACATCGTTACTTCCTTTGAGAAGAATATTTCCTCTTACTTCATGAGACTCCCTCCCAGGACTTGCCCTGCTAGCCATTTCTTTTTATTGTTCTTAATGCTTCAACCATGTTATTATAAGCTGAGTCCCAAATCCTTTTTTTTTTCTTTTCTTTCTTTTTTTTTTTTTTTTTTGGAAATTGAGTATTGAAGAACAATTTAAGTACTATTACTCTTCCTGTATACACACAGCCAGGCTTAT